ACAGTTATGAGCATGACATTGATGAATCAGCCCATTTACAATTACAATTCTACTGCGCATAAGAACTTGAGATGTTAATGCCCTCCCCCCTCCATTATAAATGGCCTAAAGACACTTCAGTCAGTAGCACCACCCTAGGGGGTAGCCCCCTAGGACTGACCGTACAGCGGCTCGCCCCAACAACTGACCGAATGGCGGCTCGCCCCTGCACAGGCATTGAGTGGTAGTCCATGTTGTAGACAACTTCTTGTCTCGGGGGTGTCACGTGACCGTTGATGGCTGCCCACTGGCTAACTCCGTCCTGGTGGGGATCTGAGAAACAGAGGAAAGAAAAAACAAAGAGACATGAGGGAACCCGTGGGATACTTACAGAGGATGTGGGTGGGTCGTTGGTGGGTGCTCTGGTGTGGTTTGTTCTTTCTTTCCTATCAAACATCAATCGTCCTTATCTCTTCTCCTTCTATTCTTTGTATGTTACTCTGCAATAATACTTTTTCTCTCCAGCACTTACATGACTTATTGTATGATGCAAGTGTCGTCAAGACCTTAAGACGACTTCTATATCTGTCGGCATGATGGTGCTCTCTCAAACCGGACTCTCCCACTGGGACAATATTATGGTATCATCGGTACACGTCGTAAATTTGGTGTGGTTTAAAAAGATGGCGTGAAATACAGACAAAGCGATGAGGAAACAAATAATGTCGATGTGAGTGTTGTGTTGTGTTATTACGTACCTGTGTAGTTGATGCCGGCAATCTCTGCGATGGTGGGGAACCAGTCGACAGCGTGCATCAGGCTGAGGGAGGGAATGTGAGGGAGATGGTTCATGTATAACATGCATGAGGGAGAGGGTTAATGTATGACAGACATGAGGGAGATGCTTAATGTATGACAGACAGACATGAGGGAGATGGTTAATGTATGGCAGACGTGAGAGGAGGGTTAATGTATGGCACACAAGAGGGAGATGATTAATGTATAGCAGACATGAGAGAGATGGTAAATGTATGACAGACATGGGGGAGATGGTTAATGTATGGCAGACAGACATGACGGAGATGGTTAATGTATGGCAGACAGACATGGGGGAAATGGTTAATGTGTGGTAGACGTTAGGCAGATGGTTAATGAACGACAGACATGAGGGAGATGGTTAATGTATGGCAGACATGAGGAAGGTGGTTAAAGTATGACAGACATGGGGGAGATGGTTAATGTATGGTAGACGTTAGGGAGATGGTTAATGAACGACAGACATGAGGGAGATGGTTAATGTATGGCAGACATGAGGAAGGTGGTTAAAGTATGACAGACATGGGGGAGATGGTTAATGTATGGTAGACGTTAGGGAGATGGTTAATGAACGACAGACATGAGGGAGATGGTTAATGTATGGC